GGTCAACACTGTTTGATAGCACTAGTCTGGACCACCGGATTTGACAAGTAGTTTTTTTTGCTCTTCGTCTCAATTCTTTATAATTTTTTGCTGTTGATGCAAGGTTGTTTGGACGCTGATACGCACTTCCATTCACTGATTGAGAATTTGTCTTTAAAACTGTTTCATTCCTCCTTCAACAGGGGATTTACAGGGAAAAGTGATTAGAAGACAAGTAGCTGTTTCTGGTGACTTTCTGGTACATCCACAAAAGAGATTTTTTGATACATGCTTTCTCTTTGTAGGCTGGGTGGTTCCCAACTCCATGTGCCCCTCACAAGCCATAGTCACCTGTTCAGGAGCCAAAACATAACATGAGGCAGCTGCGCATTAATTCAGAGCCCATCAGCTCTGTGGTGTCAGCTTTTGCTGTTCCTGTACAGGGAAATACACAACACTAAACACAGTTCCCAATATGCTCCAGTAAACATAATTTCTAAAACTGCAGCCATCTCTTTTTACACTTCTTGGTTTAAAACAGTATTTTCCTATTTTAGGCTACTGTCTTAAAAAAAAGGAAAATAAAAAGATGTGGCCTTCGCAAAACTGCTGTTTCCAAATAAAACCAGGATAAGATTGTGTCCACACTGTGAAGAAATCTTCATTATTTAAGCTTGTGTATTATTTTGTGACATCATAAAATCTGCACTAAGAGAATAAACAAATGGCATAAACAGGTGCACAGGCAACAGAACACATCTAAATCTGAATTTGGTACCATATTGGGAGGGAGAGCTAAGACTGTGGAAAATGTAATGCAAACATACGAGCATACGTGCAAACACACAAAGGAGTACAAGCAGGCCATTCAATTTCTCGCGCCTGGTTAACCATTTGATAAGATCATATCGGATCTGATTGTGGTCTCAACTCCACCACAACACAATTAAATAAAGCTAAATCTGCAGATTATTAAAGTTCAATTATCACTTAACTCCCTAAAGATAAAATTTGAGGTGATGCACTGTGATCAGAAAAGTAAAACATCACCTGCACTTTAGAAAATGAGACCGAAAGGGGAGTAAATATAAAGGGATCCTGATGAGCATTAAAGACAGCGCTCTAGATCAGTTGGCAATCTCAAAATCCCAACAAAATACTCAGATTAACATATAGGAATACCAAATTCAACCATAATGAAGTTATGTAATATTTTTACTGGCTTTTGGTAAGGCTGCATCTAGAATATTGCGTACAATCCTGGTCCTGGTCTTCAAACAATGTACAAAAAAGACTTACAACATGATATCAGAACTGAAAAATTATAGGTATCACAAAGATTAAGCCTTGTATTTTGCTGCAGCTATCAGAAAAGGCATTTTCTTCAGAAGGCCCTGTGATGATGTGATGGAAGCCATTAAAATTATGAAAGGATTGGACAGGGTAGATGATAATATTCCCCCTTGTAGAATGCAAAACTAAGGGCCGTAAACACCAAATAGTTACCTATAAATTCAATGGGAAAACAGGAGAAATATATTTCCTGAGAAAGTGGTCAGAATGTGGAACTTTCTGTTGCAAGAAGCAGCTGAGGCAAATAACTTAGATGTTTTCAAGAGGAAACTTGAAGAGTTCCTGAAAGGAAAAGGAATAGAAGATGAAATTGAAAGGCAGAAATAAGGTAGACAAAGAAGAATGATGTTGAGTTTGGATATTAGCACAGACTAGATGGATTGTAGAATGTATTTCTATTCTGTATTTATCGAAATTCATTATAGGAAAAATAAGCGTTAGGAAAGAAGTCAATTATATCAATCAGGCAAATGGAGTAAGAAATATGCAACTCTGCCGGTGTCAGTTTTCTCAGATAGCTCACACTTAAAGGGGTTAACTGACATCATGACATAAGTCATCAGAACTGCTCCTGGGAGTAGTTGCCAGCTTGGTTCCAGCAGTTCTAATTTTTTGTTCTGTTCAACTAACAGTAATGTGTAAGTCCTCTCAAGGAAATCCTGATGTCTCAAGAGACTGCCGCACAACACAGATACTGTGTAAATAACTCTTAAGTACTGTGTAACAAATCTAATCAGTTTATTAAGATTGAGCCTCCATTCTGTCAAAGATTTTGCATGGGAATCCTTTCCACTTGTTATCAGCAACTTAAATTAACATGAATAAAGATTGGTGCCAGTCAATCTACTGAAGGCATTGCAGTGATTGAGGTGGACATGACCATGAATAGAAGGCATGGTTAGTAAGCTTGCAGACGACACCAAAATTGGTGGCACAGTAGACAGTGAAAAGGATTTCTAAAATTACAAAGGAATCTTGATCAAATGGGTCAATGGGCTAAAAAATGGCATATGGAGTTCAATTCGGATAAATGCGAGGTATTGCGTTTTGATACATCAAACGGGGCAGAACTTATACAATTCATGGTAGTGCCTTAGGTAGTGTTGTCAAACAGACCTAGGGGTTCAAGTACATAATTCTTTGAGGTTTGCATCAAATATAGACAGGATGTTTAAAAAGGCATTTAGCACGCTTGCCTTCATTGCTCAGTCCTTTGAGTATTGGAGTTGGGAAGTCAGGTTGAGGTTACGCAGGACATTGATAAGGCTTCTTCTGGAGTACTGTGTCCAGTTCTGGTCACCTTGTTATAGGAGGATATTATTAAACTAGAGAGGGTTTAGAAGAGATTTACCAGGATGATGCCAGTACGGAATGTTTGAGTTATAAGGAAAGGCTGGATAGGCTGGGAATTTTTTTCACTGGAACGTAGAAGGTTGAGAGGTGACCTTATAGAGGTTTATAAAATCAAGAAGGGTATAGATAGGGTTAATGGTAGGTGTCTTTTCCCTAGGATTGGGGATTTCAATACCAGGGGGCATATTTTTTAAGGTCAGAGGAGAGAGATTTAAATAGGGCATGCGGGGCAATTTTTTTTTTTTTTTTTTAAACACAGAGGGTGGGTCGCGTGTGGAATGAAATGCCTGAGGAAGTGGTGGGTGCAGGTACAGTTACAACATTTAAAAGATACTCTGGTAAGTACATGAATCGGAAAGATTTGGAGGGATATGGGCAGGAGCAGGCTGGTGGGACTAGTTTGGTTTGGGATTACATTTGGCATGGACTGCTTGGACCAAAGGGTCTGTTTCCGTGCTGTATGACTTATGACAAACACCTGACTGACAGCAGTTCAGATTTTATCATGTATCCCAAATAGGGCACGCATTTTTGTTTCCCGAATGTACAGCCTGCCACAGTGGAAGTTGAATGGTCATTATCAGATGGAAAAAGACAATGGGACTTGACAAAACGACCTGGAAAGTATGTTTAATGAGGACCTGAAAAAGAGATTGCAATTGACTATGGTTAATAGTACAATCTTGCTGCCCATAGTTCCCCTGGTCTCATACGGGACAAGTATAATAAGTAAAACAAATACAGATCTTGAAAGAGAAAAAAATACAAATAACAGAGAAAATTGGACAAAATATCACAAAATAACCAAGGAGGATTTTTTAAAAAATGTATGAATAGCTTTTGCTTTATTACTCGTTCAGTGGATTTATGCTTTCTGATGTCCTCTTGTGGCCATTTGGAGTACAGAGAAAACAATGGACAGTCACCTTCTTTTGAAAGGATTGTATACCGAATATTCAAGAAAGTTAGAGTGACACCTATATTCTGCTTCATCTTAGGACATGCTGAAGCATTTCACATCTTGATGCATTGCATTGGTGAATATATCAGCCAGTTTATGCACAGATACGTCCCATAATTAAGATGAGTTGTTCATTTTGGGCTGTCTTAGTTGAAAAAGAAATTCTAAGACCTCTGAACAATTCCTTGCATAGTGCCATAGGCTCTTTGACATTCAATGGTAAGACTGAGTTTTAGTTTAACACTGCCCTTGGGGGACAGTATTCTACATACGTAGGATTCCCTCGGTATGGAAATATAATTAATTATTGACGACTCTTGGAGAAAGGACTGAACCCAAGACCTCCCCTCTCAGGGGCAAAATATCGCCTTTCACAGCAACATACGATAAGCAAGTATCATAACTTGCTGTGTAGGTAAAATACTGTTCAACATGTAAATATGCACTGTAATTTGCAACTTTAAAGGCAATCTTGTTTAATTAAAATGGGTCACTGCCGTGCTCTGGTCATATAAGTGAATTTGAGATTAATAGTCCAAATGAGATATATTTTACTGATAGGGGAATTAGTTATTTTCATTAACTGCAGAGACAGATGCAAAAGCTAGTCTTTCACATCTGTTACAGTTTACAGAACAGAAGGGACATCATAACTGTAGTCTGCTCAACCCAGACACATTCATCCCACAGTTCAAGTCAGGGAACAGAAGTACTGATGGAAATATAATTCAATAGCTTTTGTTTGCAGATGGCTTGTGGTGAAATTAGATGATTATTGGCATCATCACAAATTATACAATTTCAACTATCTTAAGAAACCACTAGAGCATTTTGAGTTTCCAGATCTCTCAAAATTTATTGACATAAGAAAACTATTCTTCATTCAACACTGGGCAGACTCAATACAGTGTATGAGTGGGGAGAAGAGAACAGTGGTAAATATGCACCACACTGGGCTTGCAGTGCCTAGATAATTTAAAGTAAGTATTTCAAAATAAATTTCTCTGATTCACTCACAAGAATATGATTTTCTCTGACTAAACACACTTCATTCTTGCCTCACTCACTTTGACTGATCCGGAGGTTTCCCCTATAGATATCACTGTTGTTTGCACCAGCTGGCAAAAGCTTGATTCATGTTTATTATCATGTGAAGCACATGGAAAGGCCCAAAAGGGAAAATACCAGTTCTAAAATAGAGTCAAAAATCAGTATTCTTGCTTTCATAATTAGCATATGATTCATTAACAAACATAACTCAAATCAAATTTATTTGTTCAGGTTTTCAGACCAGGAACTACAAACATTGTGAAACAGATAGGCGGGGTTTTTTTTGTCATTTTACTGATCTTACCTGCTGCACTCGACCACTGTGACTTTTAGGCGTCCTTCAACAATATTCACGTCTTGCATGTAAAGATCGCAGTTGGCTGCATCTACCGTTTGGACTTGGTATGGAAAAAATGGTTTGTACCTGTAAAAGAATAAGATTAATGGTGGGTTTTTCAAGTTTTTATTTTTATATTGTTATATTAAAGTAAACATTACAATTACGTCTTCATTCACTCCATCATGAAATTGAGTTCAACTCCATGCTGCTTATTAATTGACTTTATTCCTCTTGTAACAGTAAGCATATAACCAATAGCATAATAGCCATGCTTCTTCACAAATGATCAATTCAGAGTTTATGCAGTGACTGACTAAACCTAACTGATCATGAAAGTTTCAGGTTCAATCCCCAGCAGTTCACGATCAAATAGCCTACTCCTGCTGCTAATATCCATGTTTCTATTAAATAACTTGTGCAGGTACTGATTAAGTCAGTCTGAGGGAGACATAGAATGTGCCACTAGGCCCTGCCAGAAGGGCACATCTTTGGTTGTTGGCATTTACAGATTCAAACAGGGCTCTGATGTCTTATCCAGTAGTGCAGCACTTAAATCAAAAACAGAAATGGCTGTAAAAACTCAGCACGTCTGGCAGTATCTGTGGAGAGAAAGCAGAGCTGACATTTTGGGTCCAGTGACCTTTCTTCAGCATGAGTTTTGACCTGCTGAGTTTTTACGGCCATTTCTGTTTTCATTTCAGATTTCCAGCATCTTGCAGTTCTATGATTTTCCTGTTTAGTACTTGAAAGATGTTATTTAGTGGACAATTCAATACTGATAATACTGAAGTTAAAAACACTCAAGTACAATGCTCTGTGAAAATGAAAATAAAACCGCAAGGGCCAAAAGAAATGCCAAATACACAAAATGAATTTATTTTCAGTTCAGAATTATTCTTGTATTATACACCAAGAGTCAGATGGGAATTTGCTATTGTATTTGTTTTGTACTAGTAGTGACTGTAGATCCTATGTTTCACCATTGGATGGCACTTTATGTCTTCAAATAAACACAACTGAATTCTAATAACATATTTGTATTAATTTACCAAGAATATTTATGGTTAGATGAACACTTAAATTAATAAAATGCAGTGCTTCAATTTGATCACTCATGCCACAATTTAATTTAAATTTTAAAAATATACACAAAGTCTATTGGTTAAAGCATAAGAAATGATTCCTGGCAGGGTGACTCAGTGGTTAGCACTGCTACTTCACAGTGTCAGGGACCCAGGTTCGATTCCAGCCTTGGTGACTGTGTCCATCTCTGCCTGGGTTTTATCCAGCACTCTGATTTCCACCCCCACTGTACAAAAATGTGCAGGTTAGGTGGATTAAGTAAGAATGACGACAAGGTACCAGAAGTTACCTGGCTCCTTTGAACTCCCCACCCCAACATTAGTCAGTGTCTTTAGTAAAGAAGGGAAACCAGAAAACCATAAGACACCTTGAAGAATGGTACAACAGAATAAAAGCCAGAACCACATTTAAAATTTAGGAATATAATTGGAATCCAGTGAATATCATTTTCCAATTCACTACTTTATCAACACATCTGGGACGATCTTCATTGCCTTTGGAAGCATCGATAGCAAAACTGGGCTGTTTCTGCAACTGGCTATTGCAGCAAATTAACATTAGCTAAGATGTTTGCACCTTGGATGTCTTTTTACAAGCAAGATGGCTTTTACTTCAAATTTTAGATAAATTTTATTGAAATGTGTTTATAAGTAGCTGATGGAATAACTTTTAGTTTCTATTGTAAACCTTGAAGGTTGAAACACAGGTAGACCTTGTAGGTAGTTTGGTCTAGTCTATCAAAAGCCTCTTTTGCAGTTACTGGCTAACGCCAAAGCTCATTTTTGTAATTCTGTAATTTTTGAGAAGCAGGTTCACCTTATTTGCAACACAATATCTGTGATTCCCTAAATCTGAGCATTTTTCGTTGCAACTAAGTTATTTGGGTCATATACTGGCTATTCTTAATTTAACATTAATCGGATATTCTCACTTCTACACGTTAAGCCCCAGCTGAATTTGGTCTGCGGTATTTCCCCTCATCCACCCCTATGCACTCAGACACACTTTGCTTGTTAGATGGCAACTTCTGCATTTCTGTTTAGGTTCTTTGCTTAGTCTTACCCAACACAACCAGACTGCACAACAAACATCAACAGAAGCAAGACCAAAAGATTTAGGAGCTTATGGTCTTCAGCAGCTTCCTAATCTTTTACTCATTTGGAAAGACACGGGTTTGCTTATAATCGTAAATTAAATTGCTCTGGGTTTCAAGTGGAGCTTTGTTTCTTCGGTCTTCTTTGGTAATACACATAATTCACAGTGATCCAGTGGAAACATTGGAGGCATCATTCCTGCATGATTTAAATGAAAGGCCTTTGTGCAGAAGCTAAAGATGTTGACTAAAAATGGGAAGGAAATTCAAAACCTAACCCTATATCTAAATAAGTTAAACTCACAAACGAGGAATGGGGGCTGTAAGCCACATGTTAATTATATGGTTTCTCACGCAACTATGATGATAAGATAACTAGTGAAACTCATAGGGCTGTTTCAGACAGTTCAACAAATGAATTACCAGTACCATAACATTTCTTCTAACTTTCACCATGTTCAGCCTTTCGCCAATCTTTTTTGCATTACCTGTGGCATATGAAAGTTGCTAACAGCATGTAATCCTGTAACATTTGTTTCAAACCACTTGCTCTCACTTGGCATTAGCACAATGCCCAATCATTCACGTCAACAGATAATGCCAACATTTCAGGGATCATTCAAAAGAATTAGGCATACTTGCATTTCATGCAGCAACAAATCTCTCTATTACTGATCCATTTATGGATTAATAGATATTATATGGTCACTCTACATGATCACTCTTCTGACATCTGACATTTGCTTCTGCTCACAATTAGATCTTGCACAACAAAGTAAAGCTTTGGCAAAGACCTGTAGCTCAGGTTGTGGGTGAGGTTGTTGAGTTGCTCGCCGAGCTGGGTTGTTCTTGTTCAGACATTTCATCACCATGCTAGGTGACATCATCAGTGGCACCTCCGATGAAGCGGCGTTATTCTACTTCGCTTGGAATTTATACCGTTATGGTGAGTAGTGTCATTTCTGGTTTTGATCTGTATGGGTTTGTATATGGGGTCCAATTCTGTATGCTTGTTGATTGCATTACAGGTAGAGAACCATGCCTCTCGGAATTCCTATGTATGTCTACATTTGGCTTAGGCTACTATGGCTACCTTGTCCCAGTTAAACTGATGGCCTTCATGGTCTGAGTGTATCGCTATTAAGGAGAGTTTGTCATGCTGTTTTGCTACTAATTGATGTTCATGTATTCTGATGACTAGTTTCCTTCCTGTCTGTCCGATGTAATGTTTGTGGCAGTCGTTGCATGGTATTTTGTAACCCACGTTGGTTCTGCATGTTGTGGGAATGGGGTCTTTAATCCTTGTCAGTGTTTGTTGTAGAGTGGCTGTGGGCTTGTGAGCCACCATGATTACTAATGGTCTTAGGAGTCCCATTGTCAGTTCTTATATGTTCTTGACATAGGGCAGTGTGGCCAGTGTGTTAAGGTGTACTGTGTCCTCCTGTTATTGTTTGTTTAGTAGGCATCTGCGGATGAAGGTGCGGGGATATACATTTGTAGCGAGGATTTTGTATAGGTGCTCTTCCTCTTTCCTGCGTAGTTCCAGGGTTTTGCAGTGTGTCCTGACCCGTTTAAATAGTGTCCTAATACAGCTTTGATTGTGGATGTTGGAGTGGTTGCTGTGGAAGTTGAGGATTTGATCAACGTGGGTTGCTTTTCTGTATACCGAGTGTATCGGTACACTCAGACAATGAAGGCCATCAGTTTAACTGGGACAAGGTAACCGTAGTAGCCCAAGCCAAACACAGACATGCACAGAAATTCCTAGAGGCATGGTTCTCCACCCACAATTCAATCAACAAGCATACAGAATTGGACCCCATATACAAACCCATACAGATCAAAACCGGAAATGACACTATTCACCAAAACAGTATAAATTCCAAGCAGAATAGAATAACATTGCTTCATCGGAGGCTTCTCTGATGTTGTCATCGAGCATGGTGAGAAAACGTCTGAACGAGAACAAGCTAGCTCGGCGAGTAAATCAACAACCACACAACAAAGTAAAAGTCTGGTTGCTAACTTTGTGCATGAATCAAAAGAACTACAAAACCAGTACGTGAAAATAGTCACAATGAAAAAGTTGAGAGTGTAATCCTGCAACACAGCATTTTTCATGTCATTACAACAAACGAAGCTACGATACAAACTAGAGTCTTCAGCATCAATACGCAAGTGCAAACTCAAACAAGCCTTTAAACACCTTAATGAGAAGGCTTCACACCACTTTGGGCTTACAAAAGCAATGATACAACATAAAACAATTAACAACAGGTAGTCTAATGAATTTCTAAAACTGTTCAGAAAACTGTAGAGTCAAGTGTTCTCACAGTTTTTCAACATTTGTGAAAAACTCTCCAAAATAATTGCAATAAGGTTGGTATCCTGTCACCAAGTCACCCTTTATAAACTTGGGTACAAGTACACTGGCTGTGGCCAATCAGCTCAAGTAAGTCCCCTGAACTGAGGGAATTCTAAACCTCCTTGCTATTTTGGTCAGCCAGGGCTTTTGCGATTGGCCCAGATTAACAAGGATCTTGTGGTCAACAAGATCCAGCTGGTTCCAATCACGACATCCTTCCCCCTCTAAGTCCAGGGACGTAGGCCTGGTTTTTCTCTTGTAGCTTTTCTTTTGACATTTTCACCCCAGGTCCGGTTCATCTGACTCATACTCTTACAAGTATGGCATGTACCAGACCATGGCCCGTCTCTTGCATCTGGAGCATCTTGGGAGAGTTTCCTCCTCTTCCCTTCCGACAGTAACAGTATCGAGGCTGCACCAATCTCAGACTCTGAGGTTTCTTTGACACTCGGCGGAGGGGGGAGAACCTACGGTTTCTGGCAGGCCTTCTGGCTGTTCTGAGGGGTCAGGTATGTTTTGTTCCTGCCCCGTTTGCAAGATAACAGCTTTAAGGTGATGCACGTGTTTGTTCAGACTGTATCACCTACCCGAATTTTGTAAGTCACATCAGCCTCACCTCATGCCCATACAGGGCCATTTCAATGGTTCCAGCACCAAAATTCTTCCCCTGAACTAAACTGTCTCTCTCGTTTAGAGGAGGAATATGGCCAGCATTGGCATTCCTGCTGCTGTTTCACCCTCCGCCTCCCCCCACCAAAGGTCTGGGGATATCAGGTTTAACCTGGTGTGGAGTCATCTTCCCATCAGCAACTTTGCTGGAGCTATCCCTGTTGTTGCTTGTGGTGTAGTCCTATAATCAAACAGGAACTGGGAACAGTTTGGTATCAAGTGACACTGTAGGTTGCTTCTTTAAGGCTGCCTTCAATGTTTGGACAGCTCCTTCCACTAGACCGCTGGACAATGGATTGTATGGAGCTGTCCTTATGCGCTGAATGCCTTTTGACTTTAGGAAATATTCAAATTCCCTGCTGGTAAATGATGTCCCATTGTCCATGACGAATATCTCCAGGAGTCTGTGTATCACGAATGATGCTCGCAACTTCTTAATCGTCATCCCTGAGTTTGCTGAACAAACTTTATGCACATCCAACCACTTTGAATGAGCACCCACAATGACCAGGAACGCTGAGCCCATGAAAGGACCGGCCTGGTCGACATGCAACTGTGTCCAGGATTTACCCAGCCTTTCCCACGAATGGGGGGCACCAATGGTGGCAATTTTTGTCTTTGTTGGCAATCTGGGCACTGCCCCACCAATGCAGTTATGTCAGCATCCAACCCTGGCCACCAGACATAGCTTCGTACTAGCGGCTACATCTTGGAAACCCCTGGATGACCCTGGAGGAGTTCAGCCAGTATCTGGCAATGAATCTTACTTGGGACAAACACCCTTCGTTTGATCTAGTTCCACTGAGTCCAGAAAGGTTTCAGTCCTGGTTCAGATGGCCCTTCTGTTTCCCCCATTGCCACCAGCTGTTTTAATTTTGCAAGGACAGGATCTTTTCATGCCCAAAGTCACATATTGTCTGCAGTGACTGGAAGGGTATCCAGGAAGTTTAAAACCAAAACGGACTCTTTCAGGGAAGGCAGCTCAATGCATCCACAATAGCCACTGGGCTTACTGGACGAGGATCTAACTTGCACTTGTACGCGCTGAGAATAAGGGTCCAACGCTGAATTCTACCAGAAGCTATAGCAGGCACCATCTTGTTTTCCTTCAGTAGCCCTAGCAGAGGTTTGTGATCTGTTACTATGAAAAATTCCTGTCCATAAAGGTACTCGTAGTACTTTCTCACACCAAGGATGACCTCCAAACATTCCTTCACTATCGGGGCATATTTGCATTCGGCAGCTGCCAAAGTCCGAGAAGCGTACACTATTGGGCACTCCTCTCTGTTGGGTCACTTGTGAGCCAGCACTACCACAATACTGTACAGGGAGGCATCGCATGGCAGCACCACATCTCGCTTCAAATCATAGTGGGCCAACACGTTAGATAACGATAGCTGCTTTCCACTTCCCTACAGGCTACATCTGGGCTACGCAACCATTTCCAAGGCTGACCCTTTTTCAATAGCTGGTGTAAAGATGCCAAGATGGAAACCAGTTTACATATGAATTTTCCACAATAACCCAAGGAAAGACCTAAGCTCCAGTACAGACGTGATAGCTGGGGCTCCTCTGATTGCCCTCGCTTTATTTTCCAACAAGTGTAACCCAGTTTTGTCGACTCTGTAACTGAAGTAGGTCACTTGGGGTGCCTGGAATACACATTTTTCCTTTCTAGGGCATACACCCACCTGGGAGAAATGTTCAAGCACGATCAGCAAGTTTTCCAAGTGCTCTTTATTGGTCTCCTTGTTATTAGTATGTCATCCAGATAAATGGCAACCCTGGGTAGCCCTTTTAAAATGCTCTCCATGGTCTGCTGGAAAAGGGTGCAGGCTGATGATGCCCCAAATGGCAATCTTGTATATTAATATAAATCCTTATGGGTATTAATTGTAGCATACTTCTGGGACTCCTCATCCAGTTGCAATTGCAGTTAGGCATGGCTCATGTCCAGCTTTGTAAAGGACAGCCCCCCTGCCAACTTTGTGTACAAGTCCTCTCTGCGACAGATCGGGTATTTATCCACCTGCGAGAAGTGGTTTACCATTTGCTTAAAATCCCCACAAAGGTGAACTGAGCCGTCGGGCTTCACAATCTGTACGAGCGGTGGTGTCCATTCTGCAAAGTGCACTGGTTTGATGATTCCTTCACTCTCCATCCTCCTGACTTCCACCTCTACTTTTGCCCACAAGGCAAATGACACTGGACAGGCCTTGCAAAATGTCGGAATTGCTTCCTGGTCATTATATAAAGTGGCTTTGGTCCCTTTGATAGTCCAAAACCCTTCCTGAAATACTCCTGGGTATTTCACTAGGACTTCAATGAGGCTGCCATTTCTAATCGAAGAATGTTGAGCCAATCAGGTGAATCTTTCGCAACCAATTCCACCCCAATAGGTTTGGGCCTGAGCTTTTTACTACCATCAGTGGTAATCACACCAACTGCTTCTCATAGGAGACCAGAACCAAGGTTGTACCCTTAATCTGCAATGGTTCCCCAGTATATGTTCTCAGTCTGGCTGAGGTCTTGTGCAAACTTAAGGGTTGGAGTCCAGAGCGAATCTTGTTAAAAACAGATTCTGCAACCACAGATACAGTTGCACGGTATCGAACTCCATAGGAACTGGGTGACCATTTAACCAAACATTAATTTGAATCGGTTCCAATTCGCATGTCGCTAAGCAATTTAGTTATTCCAACTCACATGAAGGGGGACTTTCCAGGTGTGCACTCTCGTGGGTACCAGCCTGTGGGTTTTCTTACTCAAGTCAGGCTTTGTCGGACTCCTTTGCTGCCTCGAGTCCATAAATTGACAACAACGATAAAATCAGCCCAGATTCTGAGGAGCTTTTTAGTCACTTGGCCGAGGCTCACCTTTGTTGTGGGGTTCCGCTGTGGGCTGGCCTAGGCTCTCTCTGATCAGGATATGCCCTGCCTGAGGCTCTGCAATTGCCTACACTCAAGTGGTGTTTACCAAGCTCAATCGGACAGGTGAAGGTGTCCACTGTCATTGGGATGCCATGTAGTTCCCATGCTCCACTTACCACATTTTCTAATGACAAGGCCAGCTGCAGTGCCTGTATGAATTCCAGCTGGACTTCAGCTAGTAGGCGCTACGGCATGGTTACATCATTAATCCCACATACCAGTCTCTCAGCATCTCATTCAGGGTTAACCCAAAATCACGTGTCTCTGCCAGTAGTCTTAGCCTCGTCAAAAATCCCAATATGGATTGCCCCGGTTCTCTAACAGCTGAATAAAACCGATTGTGTCTCAGAATTAGAGGTGGTTTGGGATTGCAATATTCCTTAACCACAAGGGAAACAACTTGACCACATCTAACCTGTCATATCCTCTTGTATGTTTGAATGAGGTTGCTTCTCAGTCTTTTAAACTCCAATGAGTACAAGCCCAATCTACTCAATCTCTCCTTAATAAGGCAGTCCCTCCATGAGCAACCTAATGAACATTCTCTGAACTGTCCTAATACCATTATATCTTTCTTTCAATAAACGGGGCCCAATACTGTCCACAATATTCCAGCTATGACCTGACTATGTAGTTTAGCAAAACCTCCCTACTTTTATTTCAAAGGGAATGGAATAAAGGTCAACATTCTGTTTGTCCTCCTGATGACTCATTAAACCTGAATGCTAGCTTTTTGAGGTTCAGCGCAAGAATTCCCAATTTCCTCTGTTTCTGCAGTCTCTCTCCAGTTAAATTATATTCAGCTCCTCTATTCTTCCTGCATAAGTTCATTTTCCTGCATTATATATCATCTGCCAAGTTTTTGCCCACTCGCTTAACCTGTCTATATAGCTCTGCAGATCTTCTGGATGAGACGAGCATCATTTCTAAGTGTTGAAGAAAAGTACAGTAAACATTATTTTAAACGAGCACCTTATGAACCAGCACATTCGATAATAGGTTTAGAGTCATACAGCACAGAAACAGACCCTTTGGTGCAACTCATCCATGCCAACTAGACATCACGATCTGACCTAGTCCCATTTGCCAGTATTTGGCCCATATCTCTCAAACCCTTCCTATTCATATACCCATCCAGATGCCTTTTAAATACTGTAATTGTACCAGCCTCCACCATTTCATCTTATCACTGGCTCCAAACAAGCACCAGCCTCTGTAAGAAAAAGTTACCCTCAGTTCCTTTTCAAATCTTTCTCCTCTCACCTTAAAACTATGTCCTCTAGCTTGGGACACCCCCACCCTCGGGAAGAGACCTTGACTATTCATCCCATCCATGCCCCTCATGATTTTATAAACCTCTATAGGTCACCCCTCAGCCTCTGAGCTGGGAGAAAAACACTCCAGCCTATTCAAAATTATATACCTCAAAATCCACAAAGTTTACTGTATTATCATGATCTCCACGATG